AAAGAATTGGGCTACCACAGACATCCTTAACGTTGGTGTACTAAAGCCATTTCACAAAGACTATTCCACAAAAACCGAGAGCGCATGAACATTTTCCCCTGTTGATATCATGCGTGTGCTAAAATTAAGAAATGCATGTTTTAGTTTTAGCGATTTCCCGTGTCGGCAAGCGTGTTCACATGCTGACTGGATCATGTTCATCACTCAAATTACCCGACTGGTAGGCAACTCAATCGCAGCAATAACAATATTGCTGAATGTGATTAAGTGATTGAGTGAATTGCACCATGTGGAGCGATGCGTCACATATAATATCATAATTATTATATATATATATTATATTATATTATAAACCTACGCGTTTTGTGCGGGTGGTGATATTGTCAGTAATTAGTTCACTCAGTTCTTACAACCATTAACCATGCACTTTCGTGCGCCGGTTTCGGTTGCTGTCTTTTGGTTGCTCATTTGGACAAAATAGCAAATTGATGATTCGAATGTTGAGAGCAGATTTAAGCGGAAGGTAGCACATTTTCATAGACTGCAGTTACAAGAATAATGAGCAGATGCATGAGCGCCACTGTTTGCGACACCCAGCCATATCGCTCAGTGTCTCTAATCACCGGTGACCATGATCTCTGGGTCCCCATCCAGGGAGCCTAACCGGACCTCTGTGAGCCAGTTTCCTGGTCAGGGTTTTCATACCCTCATACCAGGTCTTAGCTTGACCGCCCTTCATTTTTTCCAACCGCTACTCGCCTCGCCAAACATCGCTCGCCGTGGCAGCCTACCTGGTGACATATGTAGCACATATCCCAACCAGCGTAATCTATGGAGGTCGATTACCTGTTCCAGTAGACGACTTCGAGTACCTAAAACTCTACACCTAACCTCAGCATTGCTCGTCCGGTTTCCCCATCAGTCTCGTGCAATCCGACGTAGACAGAGGTGTTCGAACACCGATAATCCATTTTTATCCTGTTCCCTTAAAAGCCAAGTCTCTGCGCCGTAAAGTAGAATTGTCAGTAATGGATGAATACAGTCATTAAAGGAATGAACTGCTACTAAAGAAAAGTTCTCAGTCGCTCAGTGAGAAATCAAGGTGAGACGATGGTCTTATATCATGTTTTCACCCAAGTGATCCGTATAAAAACAGTCGATTTTCAACTCTTGCTGTTAGAATGACGGATTCTGGTATCAAGAAAACCAAGCAATAATATGAATTTCATTGGAAGCACATTTAACATAACTTAGAGATGACAACATAAGATCAAGTCAAACACACAGCGAGGCACAACATAAATGACTTCATAACTAGTACTATATGAATGACTGGACACAATTTCTTAAAAGGACACGACCGATTTCACGACCCTTGCCGCTCATCGGGTATTCGTATCCGGGATTCTTTTGTCTGGTTATTCCTATACGGGAACTCCCGATGTGAATTAGGCAACACAAATCTCAATTGCACCTCAGGGAGTCGATTCGAGACAGAAATGCCTCGAAATGATAGTATTTATTGGATACTTTCTGACAGTAGGTGGTATGTCTGAAATAAAATTTTAGACTTGCGCAATATTTGTGATATGTTTGCTGTTTGGGGATAAAATAGTTTTTGTATACAGAAAACAGTCCCCCTCCTTCATCGCACACTGAAAGGTCTGTTCGTGACCGAGTGTTATTATAGAGTGAACGTTTTCAAAAACCGACAAATACTACTCATTGTATAATAGTTACTTGTTTAATGAATTAAGAAGTAATTCACGAACTCCGTTTAACACATTTTTCTAGCGTTTACGCTGATCTGATCCCGGATTTCGAATGTGAAGTTTGATTGTGCTTCCTCCAATCCGGTGCTAGCCGTTTAAGCAATCTCAGCAGTTTCCCGATAAAGTTGAACAAGGCCGTATCGCATTTGCTTTTTCGTTTCATATTTCACTAGTTTTTTTTGTCAAACATAACGTACCATGAACTCATTGTCATTCCTTTTTTCTGTCCAGGCAAAATCGTAGGCTTGCTGAACTAGAGGAAGAACATCGCGCCATGCTGATCCGACAAGAACAACGGGCTAAGGAACGAAGCCAGTGGTTTGAACAGCATCGGGTTCGTTAAACTTCAATTATGCGTGTTTGTACAAACTAGTTACTTATTTTGTTTTCAGTAGTTAAACATTAGCGTAAAAAAACTTGGATTGATGTAACCAAACCTGAATTCAGTCAGATACTTGATAGATGGAGTTACGCGAGAATAAACAACTTTTTAATTCTAAATTTTTTCTCATTATAGGCTCGCTCAGATTATCGACACAACGGCACGTCAGATGAGAAACACGCGGAACCAGGTTTGTCTTTTTTGTCCGATGTCAGATGTCAATCAAATGTGTTTTCTGTGTCGCGCTATTCATTGAACTGAATTTTCTCGACCTTTGATTTCCGTTCAAATGTAGCGAATCCGGATGCACATGGTCGATACGGTCGTCCACGTTTCGATCCGAAACAGTCGGGAATA